AGATCATGGTTAGCGTCAATGTACAGCAGGTGGATGGAAATGCGTACGGTAACACTAGATGGTGGTGAAGTTCGATTGCTGAAGAGAGCAAAACCAAATAAAACTTGAGCCCCGCCGGTGACGGGCAGACGAACGTGCTACCGAATCTTAAGAGATCGTCAAACATGGCGCATGGTGGACAGGAACAGGCCACCTGAACACGTGGGCGAGCAAATGATTCAGTAAAAATGTGAAAATAAACGAGGAGAAAGCCCAACTTTGTGGAAAGTTTTCTGGTGGATGGTGGAGCAAATAACTAACACCGGACCAGAACGTTTGTATACGACAGAGAATGTCAAGTGGACGAGGGGACAGCACGTTTTGGACTTGAAGGCAGTGAGAGAGATGGGCCGCTAGTCTTTCTATGAAGAACTTATGTGAACTCGGGACAGCGTGGTAGGTTAGTAGATGAAAGTGGTATATCTGACAACGAACAAGGGCTCGCTAGTGATGGATAAACGAACGTAAGGTTGGGTCGGTGAATTAATCGCAAGGGACCACCGACCTGAGCGCATTGGAGCTTATGGGGAAGTCGAAGAATCAAAATGTCGGCCTGAACGCGAAGTGTTTCGGTGGCAGCAACTGGCCGATGACAGAACCGGATGGGTAGGCTGTTCGAACACTGTGCAATTAGGAGAACTTCATATGTGTATTTTTCACATACATTCCACAGCTTCCTTAGAATTACTTGGTTCTCTGAGAAATATTGCACTTCTTTCGAGTTGGGCTTTGCTAATCCATAAAGACATTCTAAGTCAGAGAAAGTACCCGAAGCTAGCAGCTCGATAACTATAGATAATTCAGTATTCGTTTGGGAAAATTCAGTTTGAAAATTAAATAAGTCATGCGAAAAACTTAGAGATCATTTTCGAAGCCTACAATTTCGGTAGTCAAAAGAAGTTTTAATGGACTGAAATTCAGGAGGGTGAAAAGAAAATCATTCTTGTCATAGTCACCGATATCGGTCGCTAGCCAATGGGCTACACCGACGCTTGCAGTATCTCTGTGTAGGAAATGCACGTGTGCCAATACTTTCGAGCCGATGATGGTAGGCGATTTCGCGTAACACTTTGGCTATTGCCTTGGCGGGGGGGGGATTGGTCTAACCTGTAAACTCCCACCATGGCTGCAAAGAAGGGGTTTCCACGGCTCCGTTCCCTACCCTCTATTGATTAAACACGAAAAACGATAGCATTTTTACCTCTTTTCCCTCGAGCTCCAGAGATGCTCAATTTGTATGCCTCCGTGCATGATGTGAATATGCATCGCCCACCATAATTAGCTAATTGTACAAAATCAGAGCGGCAGAACCCTGTGCACACACAAGCTGTTTCTGCTACTGTTCTGTGAGTATGTCTCTGATGATGAATCCGCGACGGAATTTCGAAGCGTCAGGCCAATAATCATTTTGTCCCAGCGATCGAGTCGTCTTCTGCTTCTCATTTACTTCCTGGGACTCCCATGTTCGCTTGTGTTAGGAAGTAGTCTCTAGATAAGTATGCAATCTCGAATGTCTTGTACTGAAGTGTCGTAGGGCCAGTTGAATAAAGTCCTCTTAGCGTTATCCCAACTTCTGATTAGCATCGAGCCTTTTCGTCAGTTGCCCACCTTGCAAACTAGGAGTACTTGTTTGTTTTTTTTGTAAGGAAACTGCACATTACTCTCTTTGAGCGCTAACCTTGTGTACTAGTGACATGTGCAAACCTGGTAATCGGGTAGTGATTTTATTCGGCGCAGCG